ATGATTCTTACTAAATGTCTTCTTTATTGAGCAAGGCCTTGAAGTTTTTAGTGATACACATAATTGCAATTCAAATGCCCTTGATTGGAACCATAATAGACCTTTTTTCTTACATTTGTTTTGCTCCCCTGGGGCTTTTTGTCTGAAAGTACAAAATGATAATCAAACATGTAATTAGTTATGATGAGAACATTGTCAGGAGGGCTCCCTGCTTTGTTCCAGTTTCTGAAAGTTGGGCTCTAGCGATATAGGTAACCCTCTTGATTTCTTCTTTCTTCATCCCATTTTTCACTCTTTGTCCTCCTTCTTGGGTTAAAATAGCTGCACTTCTGCAAAATGTAACATTGTGCAACTGATTGTTATCATGTACAGAAACAAAGCTGAACTTGTGGAGAAGGTGGAAATACAACTCTTCAGGGCAGTTATGTTAATTACAAGAATAAGCCCTTCTTTTTCTGTAACACATGTAGAAAACATTTAATGTACTGAATATATAGTGGAGAACCACAGAAAGAGTGAAAATCAGCTGGGAAAACTCCATGGTGAAGTCTTTGAGCTCTGTAGCGCTCATAAAGTTAAATATTTTCAGTCCTTAAACTGGTTAATATTTTATTGTTGGTCTTCAGATTCATTCTTCTCTTAAGGCTGTAGGCTTGAGACATTTGTTCACATTTCACCAGGCTAGAGATAAGCCTCACTTCCACTCCTCTCCAGTCCTTCATTTAAACCCAGCAGCTGCATATAGTAAATAAATAAAAGTTCAGTAGTAATGTTCTCTTGACATCTTAGCAGAAAAAAGAAGAGAAGGAAAGAAAAAAAGAGTGAGACAGGTTATAGGAGGTTATTAACTAAACACCAAAGAGATTTTCCCAAGAAACCCTCTGTTCCAACCACTCCAAAGCCATGCATGTGTTAGATTTTACTTCTTGGTACCTAAGGGGAGATTTTGCCAATATTTTCAAATAACCAACACATTGATAGCTGTAGCCTCTGGAGCAATGGCCTGGGAGTGGGATCTGTGTGTGACCAAGGAGGAACTCTGGGAGGTTCTCAGTGATTCTGGAGATTCTGAGTGATTCTGGGAATTCTGAGTGATTCTGTGCAGAAAGGCTGGCAAACAAACCCTGAATATGGAGGCACACCAAGACACAAGTGCAGCTATCCTGGGAGAGTTTCCTCCATGGATCTCTGTGCGTCATTGGCACAAGGAAGAAGCTGCTGATTTTGCAGACATTCCTTTCCCAGCCTGATCAGTTTATATATATTGTTTAACATGATAATGTAGCAAGCTGTTGTTTTGTGGTTTGAAAGGCAGCTGCATTTGATTGATGCCAGGAATGGAAGTATTTGTAAAATGACACTGAATTAAATGTAGTCAGTTTATGGGCCTGGGGAAATGAATCTTTTATGAAAAATAAAAGTTTATGATGAAGAAGGAATACTGAAGAAGTGTGCATCTTGAATGAAGCTCTTTTGGACTAGATGCCTGCTGCAGAGATTTTCAAAACATACATTTGGGCCACTAAGCTTTTAAGATCTCTACATAAACATTATCCTTTCTGGTGGTCCAATTGCAATTTGTGGTTTGTGTTCTCTCTGTGGACACCTCAGTTAGGATAGGGAATTTCTTCCTTGAAAATGTAACTATTAGGCTTCTCCAAAGGGTTCCAGATGTATGCTTTAACTGCTGGATTAAAGCTCTTGTGATTTTTGAGGCATCAGCCACAAATATGAAGCACATGGGGGTGCAGTTTTCTGTATTGATTCCCAAACAAAGACCAAGACAAACTGTACTAATACAAAACAACATCTAAAGACAACCCGAAATTTTATGTACATTTTTTACACATAATGACAACTTGTGAGAATAGAATAACTTTAAAATTAGATTTAAATGCCATTTTGACGGTAACCAGAAACCAATGCCACAAAACTTTTGAGAGAAGCATAGCAAAAAGATGTATCTAATTCTCTCCAGCTTTCCTCCTGGAGCTGGCATCTCTATGCAAAATGGATGTAAAATTCTGCTCATCTGAGTTGCTGGAATTCTGATCAATATGCACCAAAGGATTGATTGCAGGGAACAAGATAATGTCTAGTGAGTTGAAAGGTTAAAGAACTGCAGCTGGCAAATCAGAGTCAGACTCAGCCATTGTGTTAAGCCAGTTCTATGCCAGAGTAATGAGAGATTGATTTACATCAGATCTTAAAATTTGCATGTGCCTTCCACTGTTTTATCATCAGAAACATTTCAGTAGGACAACTGTATAAATGGGATTTCTACTTGAAAATATATTGTAATAAGTTTCTAAATCTCTGCTGAGCATCAGCTCATCTAATAGATTTATAATAATAGCAACCTTGTATTCATTCAAAATGTTTTCTACTGTACTTGAGTATGGCATCATATTAAAGTGCATTCTTCAGGAAACCATTGTGTACTGAAATCCACTTAATTTCACATGAACTTGGGCACTCTTAAAGATCCTTTGAAGGTTTGCCTTAGTCCTTATTTATTTCACTGAAACCTTGTGATTTAGAGACCCTTGTGAAACATGTTATCTAACATCTATATAAAAAATCTCCAAAATGTGATAAATTGCTAAAAACCAGCACATTGTGTTGCACTTGTAAAAAGAGGGTGAATCTTAATTCTTCAAAAAATAAAGCAGTTCTTTTCTCTCTTTTCTTCTCAATCAGTCTCACACAAAGTAGGTGAAAATATCAGGGCTGGGATCATCTTGTAACACTGGAAAACATGGCATGGTATCCAGTGGTAAGCTTCTTTTTGAGCTGTCTGACCTTTAATCACTGCTGAATAAAACCAACATGCTGTCAGGTCTCTGCTATTTTTCTCAAGGGGGTGACTCTGCCCAAAGTAGAAATAAAATAACACCTTGGAGAGCTTATATTCAAGGTCACTACAAGAAGAGGCAACACTGTACTCTGGGAACTACAACAAAAGGGGAAAAAAGAAAAGAAGAAATGTATCTAAACATTTGAGTTTGTTTAACAGTGAACAGGCAGTTGTTATATCAGTCTATAACTGAGACTGGGATTATTTTTATATTTACCACAATATTTCATTTTTATTGGATTTTTTAAATCCAAGACCTTCACCAAAACAAACTCACTGTACACGAATGATACATATTTCTGTTATTGAGGCACTTGCAATCTAATGTCTTAGGCCCTGTCTGTATCAGGTTTTACCTCTTGTAGTCATTTTGCCACAGAAGTCTCTGTGAATACTGAAGAATGACCCTATGGTCTTGCAGATCTATGAAGAAATGAAATGCTGTATTTAAATTTATATATTTAATATATATAATATATATTTTATATATTTAATATTTTATATATTAAATTTATATAGTTAATGTGCATATTTAAATGCTGTATTTTAAATGTGTTGACCATGATAATTTAAAATAATACTTGCCCAGTCTGTGGGGAAAAGAAAGGGTGAGTTCCCACAGAGGAATTAACCTGTAGCAAAGAATTATGGCCCACACTGACATTGATTCACACAGGAGATAATGGTGTCAGTGCAAATGGAAGTGGTGTAGATCATGGAATCTGATAAATGGTTTCAGTTGGGATTTTTAGGCCAAAGACTGGATCCCTTCCTAGATTTCTTACTTTATAGTTTGCTAATATCTCACACTAATCTGTTACTTAACATTGAAATGAATTTATTGATTTGATCATGGCTTTTTTGTTATTTGGTAGAATCTCATTCTGTCTTCAGCTCAATATTACCAGAAATATTTAATCTTGCTGTGACCATATATTATTTAGTTAAATTGCTTTTCAAACTAATGCTTACACTTACAATTACAGATGAACTGATGAAGAAATCATTTTGGTCTGGGGGCCACAGTTCAGGCCAGGTGTCTCATGCTCTCTCTTTGTTTCTCAGTGTACTGTTCAAAGCTGGTAAAATGCTGACAGAATTTTGCTCTGGGCTGCCTGTCTTGGGGAGAGGACAATCCTTGATCCGGGGATGCAGGATGTGCTCCCCTCCTAAGCATGGGACTGGCAGCAGCTCTATCCTCTCTCTATTAACTGTGATAAAGAAACAGAGTGAGGTTTTTCCTCTGCACAGCATTTAGGAATCTGTGAAGGGAATTGCATTTTCCTTATTGCACTCTGCAGCAGAACTGTGTGCTCAGGGAATTTCCTGTCAGAGAAACCTTCAGCACTGGAAGGACAGTGGGGCAATAGAGATGGGGGGCTTATGGATGTTCATAAAACAAGCTCATAAATTTGTGCAAATTGAAATTGGAACAATGTAGGCTTTAATAATTGCAACATTTCTTATTGACAGAGATGACATCCAATACATTTTGTACTGCAACAGTTCACCATGCAAATAGATACCTGTTATTTCAGTATTGTTGTTTTCATTGTAGCCACCTGTGGATTTTCTGCCTGCAGAATTAAAAGTGGAAGAGATACACCTGTAATTCATTTAGTGAAATGCAATTACCATGTATGGCTTCAAAGCACAGAGATACAGGGAATTTGTGTTAGAGCACATGAGTCTTCTGGGGGCTGAATAGCAAGTACTCACTCTCTACAGCTCCCTGAAGGGTGGATGTGCTCAGGTGGGGCTGGGCTTTTTCTCCAGGCAGCACTGACAGAACCAGAGGTCACAGTCTCAAGCTGTGTCAGGGGAAATACAGGCTGGATATTAGGAAAAAGTTTTTCACAGAAAGGATGATAAAGTTCTGGCATGGCTGCCTGGGGAGGTGGTGGAGTCACCATCCCTGGGTGTGTTTAACAAAGCCTGGATGTGGCACTGGGTGCCAGGGTTGAGTTGAGCTGTTGGGGCTGGGCTGGACTCAATCTTGAAGGTCTCTTCCAGCCTAGTTAAAAAAAGAACAAAAACAAAAAGTAAAGATAACAGGAACACAAGTGCAACCTAGATATCATGTGGAAGCACTCAGTGTCAGAGGGTTTTTGCTCAGTGCCTGCTGTGTGTGCCCTTTCCCCAGGAACCACGGTGATGCGCATGGCAGCGTTCGACGCCGACGATGCCAGCACGGACAACGCCCTGCTGCGCTACAACATCCTCAGGCAGACCCCCACCAAACCCTCCCCAAACATGTTCTACATCGACCCTGAGAAGGGAGACATTGTCACAGTGGTGTCCCCTGCGCTGCTGGACCGGGAGGTGAGTGAGAACTTTCCTGTCTCCAGTATCACATTTTGATGGCTGTGCCTCTAATCTTCTGGGCTGTGAGTAGAGGCTCTGGGTATTGTTGTGTGGGGATTCAGATGCTCACTTTTGAGGATGCTCATTTCTTTTAAGAATTATTTTTATTTCTTACTTAGACCTAACTAGTTCTAAGCTCTGATCAATGTTTATAAATCTAGTAGTTCATAATTTCTGTGCAAGACATTTAGTGTTGTGTAGTGAGAAAGAAGATCTCAGGATTAAGTGGCCTTCAACTTAGAGTTAGTAATTGACACCCAGAGCTAATTGTGCTTATAGATCACTCTGAGAGTATTAGTTTAGTGCTCTATATCTTTCCTAAAATATTTTTATGAGTGGAATTATTGAACTAATTAACTTGCTATCCCATAGCCAAAAAAGAAAATACAACAAGGGGTAGGGAAGGAACAGGTAATCCTCAGGTGGCTTTAAGGTGAATTGCCACTGTGCCAAAATCTATGCTTATATCAGATCATTAACATTATGAGAGCATAAATTGATGGCAAAGAAAGCTTAGGCATGATCATTTCATGTTCAGAAGATAATAAAGTAGAGGCAATCAGTTAATCCAAAGGTTTAGATACCAGAATGTATAAAATCTTGGCACCAGAAAAAGTTACTCTATAAATCACAATTTCCTTTGATGAAGTAGTCCTGAGTGCTCTTAAATTCCTGGAGACGCCCAAATTCTGTTCTTGCAGAATGTTTCAGGTGCACGTTGAGTCACTGAGCTTGTGTTTTAAGTTGATTAGACTCAGGATTGTCCAACGTTCTCAATATTCAGCACATTATTTTTCATTTTACCAGATGAAACACTTCCCTTTCTAGGTGGGTAGTTTTTTCTACAGGCTTTTCCAACAGCAAATATTTAATGGGTAAATCAGACACATACACCAGGAACACAGTGGAGTGAAACTAATGTCTGGACCTGAATATCTGTGTTTTTAAGTTTAAGAGATTCTAACTTTATTCATATTTGGGTGCCTGGATACAGAATGGTGCCCAAGCTAAAGTTTATGAGACCACTACCTTTTCTCCCCTCAAGTTTCCCTTCCAAAGACATTGTTTCAGTTCAAAAGCTTTTTACTCTTTTCTAAAGACAGTTCTAAGTGTTTTTATTCCTCATAGATAACCATTCCCCAGATTAAACCAATTTACTCAAAATTAGAAAATCAATGGAAGGGAATGAACGTGGCTGCTTTTCCCAGTGCCTTCCAAAGGTCACTGGTGATTTATGAAATAATGATGCTGTCTCCTTGCAAGAAACCTGGCTTCAGTTGGATGGGTGTTATGGCTGGATAGTACATCCTGAGAGCAGGATCTGAATTCCTCATGATTTTTAATAATGACCAATTCCATACCTTTACTTTGAAGGTGACATGACAAGTTGGGATCTGTTGAAATTACAGAGTAATTTTTGTTGTTCCACATCTGACTGGTTTACAAGCCAAAATGTGCAGTTGTGTACAATTTTAACCCTAAAATTAAGTATTATCTGCAGTTAGAATCCAGTCTCACTTTGTCTTGTCAGAGGCAAGGCTTTGGGAAAAAGGATGTTTATTTTTTCACAGTCATCTTTGTAGGTTCAGCCTCTTCCCCTTCCTGCCCATATGTCTTGAGTGGAAACTGGTGGTCAGGCCTCCTTTTTCAGACCTGTGTAGTTGCCATTTGTGGTCGAAGATGAACAGCTTCTATTTTTAACCATAATTGCAGCTTTTAGAGACAAGCAGCCTCAAGTTTTTATTCTGAAAAAAAACTAGGTACCAATTTAATATTGATGTTATATAAATAACTCTTATGTATTTCTGTGTGGCTCACGAAATTGAATTATTATACAAAATTGTCTGCTTGAGGTGGGGACAGAGAGGAGTAAAACATGGAGGAGGAAACAACTGAGTAGTTTAGGAGGAAGAAATGTCTGGCTGGATTCCTGCTTGAGGAATAAGGTGTCTACGCATCACCAGGTTTGAATGAGTGGCTTTCTGGAAAGGTGTTGGGCTGGAGGGAGCACCATGTGCCATTCCTTTGCAGAATAACTTCTTTATTAATGCCTTTTTGTTGGGAGCCTGAGCAAATGCTAAATGTTTTGGCCCCTTGTCACACTCTCCCATGAAATGTGTTGTAGAAACACGGGAAGGAGAAGTGTTTTTTCTCCTGAAAGCCTTGCTGGAAGGTGTGAAACACAAGCTGGAGGTTGAGGACAAAATGCTCGTGAGGGAGAATTTGTGAGTCAGGAATGGTTTTATCTCAGCAATCCTTATCTTGCTTTTCTTGGCACCTCAGAGAACAATGTGCTGTAGTAGACACACAGAGGAAGCAGCAAACCCTTCCATCAGCTTTTCCACTCTTGGAAAAGAGAAAGGATGCTGAGAGCAGCTCAGCTGATCCTGTTTGATGATTGGAATTTGAGTCAGCAGCGTTTCCAGTGTAGCTCATGGAGGTACACACAGCCTTTGTGTAGGGGTTGAGGGGAAAGTGAGATTGTGCTGGGGAATTCCACAGCCCAGACACTCCAAAATCTGGTCCTGGTGAATCTGATTATTCATGATTTCCAGTTCAAACCTGCAGCTTCTCCTAGGCTTTACCGGAACTTTCTCTGGGTCAACAGCTGCTCTGATTGTAGGTGTGCTCTTTAAAATTGTAGGTAGCAGCCCTAGACAACAATTAAGAAGCTGAATTAAAGTAAAAAATTCCCTAGGATGGACATGGAGAATGCTGAGAGCAGCTCAGCTGATCCTGTTTGATGACTGGAATTTGAGTCAGCAGCGTTTCCAGTGTAGCTCATGGAGGTACACACAGCCTCTGTGTAGGGGTTGAGGGGAAAGTGAGATTGTGCTGGGGAATTCCACAGCCCAGACACTCCAAAATCTGGTCCTGGTGAATCTGATTATTCATGATTTCCAGTTCAAACCTGCAGCTTCTCCTAGGCTTTACTGAAATTTTCTCTGGGTCAACAGCTGCTCTGATTGTAGGTGTGCTCTTTAAAATTGTAGGTAGCAGCCCTAGACAACAATTAAGAGGCTGAATTAAAGAAAAAAATTCCCTAGGATGGACATGGAGAAAACTATTTTTCATCGTAATGTGATTATGCACCAGAGGTTTATGTGAACTCTTTCAAAGCATGTTAGAACACTGACTAAAATTACTCCCATTTCCCATCTCTGTAACATTTACCACTGCTGGGTCCTTGATGTTTTTGGGAAACTCTTCACTGCATTTAAGACAAATTGGTTGAATATAATTTGTTTGAGGGGTGGATTTGGTCTTTTTTGTTGTTTTGTTTTTGTTTTTTTTTCATTTAAAGTATGAATTATTTCATGTTTATGCATCAGAGGGAACAGGAGACTGGGGGTTTTGCCCAGTGGGGGAGACTGAGATGTGGACATGGAAAACATCTGGCAGGCTTTGCCCATACTGGATACTCCAAATTGTTTCTCCATGGATTTATTTCATGTTAATGCATCAGAGGGAAAACACTGGAGGTTTTGCCCAGTGGGGGAGACTGAGATGTGGACATGGAAAACATCTGGCAGGCTTTGCCCATACTGGATACTCCAAATTGTTTCTCCATGCTTCAGCATTTTCAGAAATGGAGCTATGTCATAGCCTAGAAAGTCTTGTTCCAGAGCAAAGTATCAAAATATGGGCATTTACACTAAAATTAAAAAAAGTTGGGACATCTGGAGAGCTCAGTCTTTAAATCCAATGATGCAGAGGAGAGATCTTTAGTTTGCGTTAGTAAAGATCTATGTTAACAACATTAAGAGACAAAAATGAAAGAATATTTTATTTCTAATGTGTTATCTGGGGAAAAAAAGTTACTTCTAAGGATACTATACTTTTAAAATAAATAAAATGTAAAAGAAGAAAGAATTAACTTCTTTCTGATCAAGTCCAACTGGACATCTTAACTATGAAGGACCAGCTAAATGTGAAGAAAAATTTAAAAAATTTCTATAAGTCTTCAAATTTTCCTTTTCTGTGGCTCTCATTTCTTAAATCTGTTTCTAAATGGGGAGTTTGGAAATGGGGATGCTCCCTGTTAGAAATAGTCTGGGTGTTTGATGGGTGATGGAATTGCTTTGGAGCTGTTTCCATATTGAAGTGTCACCTACAAAAAAGTCCTTCTGTCCTGTCTGCACAAAAAGGGTGTGCAGGAGCCCCCCAGACTCCATCCAACAGGATGCTGATGTGCTGTAACTGAGGGAATGCTTCCTGCCTCCAAGGAAGAGGCACAGTGAAGGATTTGTATTTCTACACCAACAGATTTTTTATTTATAAATTTTTTAGATTCAAAAGTGTTTCCAGAAGTGCATGATCCTGGGGGTTTAAAGCAAAACTCAGGTAATTTCTCAAAGAACATCCATTTTCATTTTCAGAAGGCAGCTAAGGACACATTTTTGAAGATTAATGTGGGTTGTTTTTTTTTTCTTCTTGTGGGAGTTAGGCATCCTTGAATGTGTCAGTAATAAAGATTGAAGAGTGTTAGGGGGCAAATTATACCTGCAGGTATCCATTGCAGAATGCATTTTGATTCATAAATTCAGAGGAGAAGGATGCCCTCCATCAAAATATATGGTCTAAATGACACGAAATAGAGCACAACAGGGAAAGAGAGTAAAAAAGCAAGAAAAACAGGGGGAGGGGAAGAAGTTGGAAGGAAACCTTGAGGAAACGTCCTAAATTTCAGGGATGGAGACTCCAGTTCAAAGTGACACTTCCCTGCAGTGAGAGAAAAATAATGCTCCTCATGTGCATAAGTGAAGAAAACACTTGTGGTCTCAGAATCAACTCTGAAATTTCCTTCAAGGGTCAGGAATTGGGTTTTCTGCTTGCCCACAATGCTGTTTTCTCAGTGTTACAGACCCCTCTGCTCTACAGGAAAGCAACTGTGATTTGTATAAACTTCATGACTAAAGCACTAAAAGAAAGCTGTCACCACAGTTGCTTAAGTGAAA